TCTTTCTTTCTTTCTTTCTTTCTTTTTTTCTTTCTTTCTTTCTTTTTCTTTTTCTTTCTTTCTCTGTCTCCCTTCCTCTTTCTTTCTTTCTTTTTTCTGTTTCTCTCCCCCTCATTCCTTCCTTCCTTCTTTCTTTTTCTTTCTCTCTCTGTCTTCTTCCCCCTTCCTTCCTTCCTTCCTTCCTTCCTTCCTTCCTTCCTTCCTCTTTCTTTCTTTCTTTCTTTCTTTCTTTCTTTCTTTCTTTCTTTCTTTCTTTCTTTCTTTCTTTCTTTCTTTCTTTCTTTCTTTCTTTCTTTCATCTGGCCACCCTCTTCACTTTAAGTGACTCTAGGCAGCTTAAAAGAATGGATGTTTTTGGTCATTTATAATCTCAAAGCCATCCACCCCGGGGTTCAAACATTCTACGAGCCACGTGACCTCCACATTCACCTTGAAATGTTGATCTATCGCAAACGGTCAGAGATCAAACCGAACCATTTCCCCCCTCTAAACTCTCCCTCAACACTGTGCTTGGGCGTCCCTTCTGCCCTTGCTCTGCTTTCTCTCCCGTCCTTGGATTTCATTGTCGGTTAATTATGTATTTTGCTTTGTCTTTTATTTATAAGCCACCCTGAAAAATCCTGTTTATCGGAGGGTAGCGTATAAATTCTTAAGTTAAACCCAAAGCACCTGACTCCTAATGTTCCTTCGCTCTGGGGCTACATAAATAGAAGTATTTGCAATGTGATTTTTTCTCTCCCCCCCCCCTCCTTCCTCAGCTGGAGGAACCTGGACTTAACTTTTTACAAGAGCTAAAAATGACAACCTGTACATTTTTGAAGAGCTTTCTTAAACTACATTGGCAATAAACTTCACGATCAGAGTGAGGGGGACCGTTAGTGCCAAATTCATCAGACAGACGGCAAATTGCTCAGTCTTCTAACATGAGGTCTCAGAAAGTTTGGTCCAACTCTGGAACCCACCACGAGTTTAAAACTGAATTTTCTACAGCTGCCTCTTAACCTTTTCCTCCGTGATAAATTGCTGAATCACCACTCGTTGTGCAAAGTTACAGCCATTTCGTTTAGTGACCGTTCCGAAGTCACACCGACACTGGCCAGAGAGAGACACAACTGGATGTTTTTTGGGTTTAGAAGTCTCCCAAGTCTCCTTGAGGGCTTCAACTCAGCCTGGCTACCCCTACCTTGCGAAAGGAGCTGAAGTGCCAAGCTTTTTCCTCGATTGCTATGCCCTCTTAATTGGCTGAAAAATCCTATTTGTGCCATCAGCAGCCAGGGTGAAACCATCCTATTTTTTTCCTAGCTATTTTTCTAATCACTCTTTCTCCCCCCCCCCCACTCTCCTTCCTCAGCTGCGGCTATCAAAACCTTACGCTTTGTTTTATCAAGCCCCCGTTCTCTTCTAATGATGCCTATTTGTAAATAGCACCGATAGGCTGCAATTAAGCCATTAGCGGCTAAATAAGCAAGCATGCTAATTAGGCCCTTCTACAAGGGATTTCTTTCTTTTTCTTTCTTTCTTTTTTTGGTGGTGGGGGGGGAGGAAATGGAGAGGCTGGAATTTACCTTTCATTAATCTGCCTTAATTGCCTGCTCGAAAGTCAACATAAATCAAGAGCTAGGAGTGATTTCTTGATATTAAAAAAAAAAAAAAAAAAAGTTCTCCCGTCGGCAATCGGCTGCAGATACTCCGGGCAGGAAGGCAAGCTGGCAAATTTTATTTTAATTATTTGTGTCCTGGTTGGACTAAGAGAGGGGGACAGGCCCAAGTTCACCTAGCTGGTTTTTCATGTCTAAGCGGGACTAGAACTCGCCGTCTCCTGGTGATTGGCCCAAAGTCAACCAGTTGGCTTTTATGGAGGGACTAGAACTCACCGTCTCCTGGTGATTGGCCCAAAGTCAATTAGCCGGCTTTTATGGAGGGACTAGAACTCACCGTCTCCTGGTGATTGGCCCAAAGTCAATTAGCCGGCTTTTATGGAGGGACTAGAACTCACCATCTCCTGGTGATTGGCTTCTGCAGGTTTCTGCTACTGGAAAATGTCCTGATTCTGATGTTCGTTTGGTTAAAATATTTATAACTGTTACAATAAAAATTCTTTCTGAGTAAAGCTTCAGGTTTCTTTGAATATAATACTTAAGGCAGGCTAATTGCATTACATTGATTTGCCTGCCCGTTAGTCAAATATTTTTTAATTCAACAACTCTCATCTATTGGAAAAAACCACCGATCCTTATTCAGCACGTGGAATTAACAAGGCGTGCTTGTTTTCCAGACTTGTTTGCTAAATAGAATTTAAATGACATGCTAAATTACCTTTCCCATCAACTGAGAGCAACGTAAGGGCTCAAGAATTCTACTCTGGCTACTTATTTCTCTCTTCCAGTTAAGTAAATACTTTGTAGGACCTTGAGAGTCCTGGTGATGAAACGAATATCGAGACGCCTGTTCATACTATAAAATATTTTAAATGTTATTGTTATAAAGAGAGAAAGAAGGAAAGAGAAGACGAGGATGGCCAAAACAAGGTGAATGAACTCAAAGACAGTGGTGATAAATGCAACATTAGAAGACTTGAAGGATCAAGTTGGGAACAGAGAGCTAATGCTGACTTAATAACACATAATCAAACAATGCATGCAACAGGTCTAACTTTCTGGAGAAGATTCTAATCTTGGGACAGTTGCAAGGAATTAGAAGAAGAGGACAACTAGGAGAAAGGTTGATGGACTCAGTTACAGTTGCGATGGGTCAACGTTGGAAGACCTGATTGGGGACATACCATCCTGGAGAAAATCTACCTGTGTGGTTACTAAGAGTTGACGCTGTCTTGATGATATCTAAGTAGTCAATTAATCAATGGAGCAAAAGAGAAGATGAGGATGACCACCAGCACGTTGGGTGGACATTGGCGATGGGAGCACCATTGGACGACCTGAAAGACCAAGTTGGGGACAGATCCTCCTGGAGAAAAATCTGTCTATGTGGTCACTAAGAGTTGACACTGGCATGATAGTACCTAATCAGTCAATTAATCAATGGGATGAGAGAGAAGGCGAGGACGACCAGCTGCAAAGTAGAGGGATTCAGTTACAACGGCGATAGGGTCAACTGATGGAAGACCACCTGAAGGACCAGATTGGAGACAGAATCTTCTGGAGAAATCTATCCGTGTGATCGCTAAGAGTTGACGTTGACGTGATGGTATCTAATCAGTCAATTAACCAATGGGAAGGAAGAGAAGATAATAATAGTAAAGTTGGAAGGGACCTTGGAGGTCATCTAGTCCAGCCCCCTGCTCAGGCACGAGAATGGCGATAACTAGGTTTGGAACAAGCTTCCCCAGCTCTGAAAAAAAAATGACCTTTCGTTACTTTGAAAGCTACAACTTTCTGTATGCTGCAACTTTAGAACTTCGTACGTCAAGTTCTGGAGAAATCTTCAGACAGTGAGGATGTCCAGTTTGAAGGCTTGATTTTTACTCTTTGAAAATTTAAAATTTAAATTTTTCAGAGTCTTCAATCCTCTGTACAATTAGCCGGATGCAAAAATCATCCATTTCTTTCCATTTTTGTGCAAGGCTCGGGTCTAAATACAAGATCCTGACTTTTAAAATGTTAAGGTTGGGGTATAAGACTAAAAAAAAAATGCCTTTTGTTTTGTTTTTTTTAATCTGTCTTGCTTCCCTCTTTTCTTTTCCTTCTGCTTATCAGTATTCACACCAGGTAATTCGGATCTCATTAAGTCCAATGACAGTGCAACTTTGCTTAGAAAGGCTGGTTTTTTTTCTTTCTTTTTTAACAAATTCCAGGTCCTTTGGGGAATTTCCACCAAGCCAATTTTTGCTTTTGTTTTTGTGTTTTTGCTCAGTAAGTATTTAAGGATAATGCCGATCCGACCGCCTTTTGTCCTCTAAAATCAGCCAGAAGCCTTAGCTCTTGACAGCAAACACATTAGCCTGATGGTATTTAAAAACAAGCCAGGACTGTAGCAAAATAGAAATAGTTGCATGCTGGCTTAACGTGCCGCCCCTGCCGTTTTCGGCTCAAGAAAAACGTGGGGGCGTTTGCCCCCCCTCCCCATTCGTATTAATTGAATTTTTAGAGCGAGCTTGCAGGTGTATCGATCGGAATTAAAATTTTCTACATCAAGGTCAATTTTGAACAGATCCTACAGGCGACACGTTAAAAAAGCCGAGTATTGTGTCTATCGGGGTATTGATAGAAAAACACTCAAATTTAACGGGGGGGGGGAGTTTTTTAAATGTAGTTTAAGCAATGCCCAGTAAATAGAATACAGGGATTCCTCAAATTCAACGGCACTGGAAAAAAGGGACTTATGACCGTTTTTCACACTTACGTCCGTTTGCAGCATCCCCGCGGTCACGCGGTCAAAATTTTGGATGCTTGGCAACCGGCTCGTATTTATGATAGTTGCAATGTCATCTGGAGGTGGTAATAATAATAATAATAATAATAATAATAATAATAATAATAATAATAATAATAATAATAATAATAATAATAATAATAATAATAAAGTTGGAAGGGACCTTGGAGATCATCTAGTCCAACCCCCTGCTCAGGCAGGAAACCCTATACCAGTGATGGCGAACCTTTTAGAGACCGAGTGCCCAAACTGCAACCCAAAATGCATCGTTGGGTGCCGGGTGGGTGTGGCCATTAGGTGGGTGTGGCCCATTGGGTGGGCGTGGCTGCGGTGGTAACGGAAGACTGGGTGGAACTAAAAAGTTCAATCAATTCCAACATTGCAAGATCTTTTTTTTCCCGCAAGAAGTTGGAATTGACTGATTGATTGAACCTTTTTTTTTTTTGCACATGGCGGCGGAGGCCTAAAACGAAAAGGTTTTATAAAACCCAGCTGAAGGCCTAGGACTGGGGCGACGGCGCGCGTGCCCACAGAGAGGGCTCTGAGTGCCGCCTCTGGCACCCGTGCCATAGGTTCGCCACCACTGCCCTATACCATTTCAGACAAATGGCTGTCCAGTCTCTTCTTAAAAACCTCCAGTGTTGGAGCATTCACCGCTTCTGGAGGCAGGTTGTTCCACCGGTTAATTGTTCTCACTGTCAGGAAGTTTCTCCTTAGTTCAAGGTTGCTTCTCTCCTTGGTTAGTTTCCATCCGTTGCTTCTTGTCCTGCCTTCTTCTGGTGCTTTGGAGGATAGCTTGACTCCTTCTTCTTTGGGGCAGCCCCTGAGATGTTGGATATAAGTTCTCCACCTTGAGTTATTTATAAAACATAATAATAATAATAATAATAATAATAATAATAATAATAATAATAATAATAATAATAATAATAATAATAATAATAATAATAAAGGCGTGAGACCTTTGAACAACCACTAAACGGACGGTCGTAAGTCTGTATTTTGGCTCCCTAACCAGACTGCAAGCGAAAAAATCTCCTTTTTAATATGATCAGGCGCTGCCATTCGCCAGAGGTTTTCAGCCCACGCTCCGTGGGCCAGCGGTGGGATTCAGAAGCAGGGGGCCTCCCCCCGATTTCCCGAAACTCGAGTCTTTGAACCCGAATGTAGATGATCAACGTGACAAGCCGGAAAACAAGGAGAAAACGGAGGCAGATTGATATATATATATTTTTATCACGATAGGACCCGGGTGCTTTGATGGAGCGCTTTGTTAGAGGCGAAAGGTGGAGAGCTGGCTGCCATCCTTTGCCTCTGCTTAAAAGCGGCGTTCCTCACCTTTGCAAGAGAGATGCTAAAACATCTTTTTTTAAAAAAATAAAAAATGGCACTTGTCAGTTGCACTTTATGTGAGCCCTTCCCTTTTTAACGTCTCTGTTTTAACATCGGGATGTGCTTTCCTGCAGGTGAAAGTTTCAGACCGTGCTAATCCGTTGGTGAAATCTTGCTCTTCTGCTAATAATTGCCTTTGCTTTGGGATGGATGAAGGAGGAGGAGGAGGGAGATATGGAGAGCCTCCATCACCTTCTCCTCCTTTCTCTCCATCCTCTCCTTCTCCTTTCTCTCCATCGTCTCCTTCTCCTTTCTCTCCATCCTCTCCTGCTTCCTTTCTCTCCATCGTCTCCTTCTCCTTTCTCTCCATCCTCTCCTGCTTCCTTTCTCTCCATCGTCTCCTTCTCCTTTCTCTCCATCCTCTCCTGCTTCCTTTCTCTCCATCGTCTCCTTCTCCTTTCTCTCCATCGTCTCCTGCTTCCTTTCTCTCCATCGTCTCCTTCTCCTTTCTCTCCATCCTCTCCTGCTTCCTTTCTCTCCATCGTCTCCTTCTCCTTTCTCTCCATCGCCTCTTTCTCCTTTCTCTCCATCGCTTCCTTCTCCTTTCTCTCCATTGTCTCCTCTTTCTCTCCATTGCCTCCTTCTCCTTTCTCTCCATCACCAACTTCTCCTTTCTCTCCATCGTCTCCCCTTTCTCTCCATCGCTTCCTTCTCCTTTCTCTCCATCGCCCCTTCTACTTTCTCTCCATCATCTCCTTCTCCTTTCTCTCCATTGTCTCCCTCTCCTTTCTTTCCATCACCAACTTCTCCTTTTTCTCCATTGCCTCCTTCTCCTTTCTCTCCATCGTCTCCTCTTTCTCTCCATCGCTTCCTTCTTTCTCTCCATCATCTCCTTCTCCTTTCTCTCCATCGTCTCCTCTTTCTCTCCATCGCCTCCTTCTCCTTTCTCTCCATCGTCTCCTCGTTCTCTGCATCATCTCTTCTCCTTTCTCTCCGTCGCTATTAAGATCTCGTGCAATGGTCTCTGATTTCCAAAATCCCCCCCCCTCTTTGCTTCCTCAGTCGCCACAACAGCTGTCGGTTTTTTCCAGGGTCAACACAACCTTGGTGTGAAATTGGGAGCTTTTCATGTTGCTGCACCTGTTGTGAGGAATTTAAGCAAGTGTTTACAAGCTTAAGTGAGCACCCCGTTGCCTAATTGTTTGGCAGATCTTCGTGTACGGGACGGAAGTTCTCACTGGCGTGAAATCCAGCATTCAGAAAGCCATTTTTAATCAAGTACGCCCTTTTCAAAGTGAGGATGAAATGGACCTGAGACACACACACACACACCTTATACACCTTGCTAGAGGTGAGGTTGTCTCCCTATACACGGAGTCCTCGACTTAACAAACAGCTTGCCTCCAGAAATCGTGGGCGCTCCATCACTGGAGATTTTTAAGAAGAGGCTAGACAGTCACTTGTCTGAGATGGTATATAGGTCCTCCTACTTGAGCAGGGGGCTGGACTAGAAGACCTCCAAGGTCCCTTCCAGCTCTATTCTATTCTTCCTCCTTAAAACTGTGGCACTGAGTTCAGATCACACCTAGGCAGAAGTTAAACCCTTCACGTTTGTAGGTAGTTTTCCACTTAACAACCATTCGTTGTAATAAGAAATAACGGGGCAACAAGGACAAATACTCTAAAGAAGAATAAGGGGGGGGAAAATGTAAATAATAGAAGATTACTGTTACGAAATTGCTGTTAAAATATATACTGTGTATATATGTGTGTTATGTTTTGTTTTGTTTTGTTGGTTTAAATAATAAAAATTAAAAACAACAAAAAAACAACAACCATTCGTTGCAAAAAAAAAAATCGGGCGCGGTTCCCTTAGCAGCTGCCTCGCTTAGCAACGGGAAATAGCTGGTCCCAAATAATTGTCGTAAAGTCAAGGACTTACCTGTATTTGGATAACCTGCTGCCTTCTCGGTATTTGTACGGTCACGCTTTCCCTCTTTTTTTTTCTTTTTTTTACTTTTTGGTTCCGAAGGTAACTTTGGGAAAGGTGTTAAAAGTGATCGTGGTGATGAGAAGCCTGTTCATCGACCGGACCATCGTCAAAGGTTTCCATGAAAATGTCTACACGGAAGACGGCAAGGTAAGCATCCCTTTTGCGTCTCAAATGGGGGGGAAAAGAAAAAAAAAAAGTGACTTAGTACGAGCGCTAGTGAGTGTGACTTGCTCCCTGTGTATATGTGGCAGCTCTGAGCTGGGTTATTTTGATTTGTTTATTTATTTTTTCTTGCAGACGTTTCAGGACCCAGCTAGGCAACCTCATCAGTGCTAATCGGTGTGACTTGCTCCCGGTTCATATACAGTAGCGCTGGACTTGGTTTCCTTGCCGATGTTTTATGACCCAACTGGACAACGTCATCAGTGCTACAAGCGAGTGGGGCCTGCGTAGTGGAGGACAGAGAGAGGGAGGAGGACTGTGGGGTCCTTAGCGCTCTCTGAGCTTGGTGGTTTTACAGAGGTTTCATTACCAAACTAGGTAGCAGCAGCAGCAGCACACTGTTGCTGTTACCTAGTTTGGTAATGAAACGTCTGCAAAAGACCCACCAAGCTCAGATAGCAACAAGGACCCCACAGTCGTCGTCGTCGTCGTCCTCCTCCTCCTCCTCCTCCTCCTCCTCCTCCTCTCCACAATTCCACTCCTTTCAAGCACTGATGATGTAACCTAGTTGGGTAATGAAATGTCTGCCAGGAAACAACCAAATGCAAAGAGCACTAAGGACCCCATAGTTGTTGTCCTCCTCCTCCTCCTCCTCCACCGCCACCACCACCACCGCCATGCAAACCCCACTCCCTTCCAGCACTGATGTTGCTACCTAGTTGGATCATGAAACATCTGCCAGAAAAGAACCCCGATTGCTCAGAATGCCCCCCTGAAGCTCAGAGGGCACCAAGAACCCCACAGTTCAACCCTGAGCTTCAGATATTCTCCTCTATCAATTCCAAACTTTCTCCAGCAGGCCTCTCGTGGGCTTCCTTCATTGGCCTCTGCCCAGCGTGCCAAACGTCAACAAGGTTGAAAGGAACCTAGTTGGCTTCTATCCCGACCCCACCCGTGTCTTTCTCCTGGGCCCTTCTACACTCCCCCGGTCCTAAACCTCTTGGGGGAGAGAGAGAGAGAGACTCACCCCGACTGGGCAAGTTCGAGATTTATCTTATTCCTTTTATTTATTAAATTTGTTTGCGCCCACCTCGCCACAAGGGGACTCTGGGCGGAGGTAGGGCCTCTTAACACCTGGCCCAAGACACCTCCATGGTCTGCACCAGGTAGGTCTCCTGGAACATTACCCCACCTGGGTGATGTTAATGCTCTGCCTTCGTTAATTACCGAGTATCAGTAAGCAAAGGCTGCTTTGTGCCTTCCAGCGTTGAGTCGAGTCGGTAGAAGGCCTGGCTGTATCAAAGCCGGAGCTTCAAAGGTAGGCAGAGCTGTCTCCCAAGCAATTTCTGATCCCTGTATTCTTCCCACTTCAAAGCCGAGCTGTATGTGTGTTTGGGTGAAGGGAAGGGTGGCGGGGAGGGAGGAGAGGGGGGGGCGCGAATCGGATTCCTCTAATAAGTGTTGGCACCAGCTCCGTTTGATATTAGATGCAGCGAACATTTTGATTTGTGATCGCCTTTGAAATCATTCAGGCGACCTTCAGAGAGCGGCCACTGGTGTCTTGCGCCAGGGAGGGGTGTCGGGGAGGGTGGGGGGGCGCGGGGAGGAAGAACGAGAGGAAAGAGAGAGAGGAGGAGGAGGAGGAGGGAAAGGGAGGAAGAGTGAGAGGAAGAGAGCGCGAGAAAAAAAAGAAAAAGGGAAAGAGAAAGAGGGAGAGGAAAAGAGAAAGGGAGAGAAAGAAAGAGAGGAAGAAAGAAAAAGAGGGAGAGAAAGAGATGAGAGAGAATGAAGGAGAGAAGGAAAAGATAGAAAGATGAGAGCAAGAGAGAGAGAGAGAGAAAAAGAGAGAAAGAAAGGAAGAAAGGAAAAAAGAGAAAGAGGGAGAGAAAGAGAATGAAGGAGAGAGGAAAAAGACGGAGAGATGAGAGCAAGAGAGTGAGAGAGAGAAAGAGAGAAAGGGAGAGAAAGAAAGAGGAAGAAAGAAAAAGGAGAGAGAGATGAGAGAATGAAGGAGAGAAGGAGGGAAAAGACGGAGAGAGATGAGAGCAAGAGAGTGTGAGAGAGGGAGAGAAAGAAAGAGAGGAAGAAAGAAGAAAGAGATGAGAGAGAATGAAGGAGAGAAGGAGGGAAAAGACGGAGAGAGATGAGAGCAAGAGAGTGAGAGAGAAAGAGGGAGAGAAAGAAAGAGAAGAAGAAAGAAAAAGAAAGAGAGATGAGAGAGAATGAAGGAGAGGAGGGAAAAGACGGGAGAGAGATGAGAGCAAGAGAGTGTGAGAGAGAAAGAGAGAGAAAGAGGGAGAGAAAGAAAGAGGAAGAAAGAAAAAGGGAGAGAAAGAGATGAGAGAAAATGAAGGAGAGAAGGAGGGAAAAGATGGGAGAGAGATGAGAGCAAGAGAGAGAGAAAAAGAGAGAGGGAGAGGAAAGAGAGAGAGAGAAAGAGGGAGAGAAAGAGGAGAGAGAGAGAAAGAGATGAGAGAGAGAAGGAGGGAGAGAAAGAGGGAAAAGACGAGAGAGATGAGAGCAAGAGAGTGTGTGTGTGAGAGAGAGAGAAATAAAAGAGAGAGGGAGAGGGAGGCCCGGTTTAATTCGCATGCAGGAAAGACGCCTTGAAAATTGTGTTTTTCAGCAGCTTTCCCCCCCCTCCCAAAGTTACAAATGTGTGCCTTGATTGAAAGTGAAAAGTTGAAGAATAATAGACCCGCAAGCCTGCATTGTGTAGCTCGCCCACTTCATTTCGACCGGAGGCCGGTGTGTGTGTGTGTGTGTGCAGTTAGGATGGAGACTTTACAAGCCCTGCATATGCTTTGCCTTCTTTAAAATAAAATAAAATAAAATAAAATAAAATAAACCTTTGGGGAGCGTTAAAAGCTGACCAGATTGAATTATGCCGGGGCCTTGTCCGTCTGGATGTTGAGCACCTCTTTGGACGATAGAAGGTTTCTTGTTGTATATACAGTTCAATTCCTTTCAAAATTAAAGAGCCCAAAGGGGGGAGGGGGGAAAGAAGGAGATTGATCCATTCTAAGGTCCTCTAGCCAGGATCGGCTAGTGTAGCTGGAACAGGGTTGGGTGGTGAACTTCACCTCCGCTCAGAAGATGGTCAACGAAGGTTGGTAGGATGGCAGGAATCCATCAGGGTCCTCTTCTGAGTTACAGTAGTGGCCAAAATTGTGGAAACCTTTCGGGGGAAAGTGTACAGTAGAAATGCCACCTTTGGTTAAGTTTCCACCCATTTTTTTCCTTCTAATCTCTTTATAACTGTAGCCTCGTTCGCTTGATAATACTATTTTCCATCGCTTTCTGGGCGACCGGTCCACTCTTTGCACCGTTACTTTAATTTTATTACGTTTTACAAGCTCACTCAATGAAAGAACACCAAAAAAACCCAACAAACTTGATAGCGATCACATAACACACTGACAAATGTCCTCCTCTCAGCTTCAATACGTGACATCAAGAACTGAATCCTACTGTGATCTGATTGGCTCATTGCCAACGTCTGTCTGTCTGTCCATCCATCCTCTACCTATCCATCCATCCATTATCTGTCTGTCTATCTGTCTGTCTGTCTATTCATCCATCCATTATCTATCTATCCATCCATCCATACTCTGTCTGTCTGACTGTCTGTCTATCCATCCATCCATCCATCCATCCATCCATCCATCCATCCATCCTCTTCCTGTCTGTCTGTCTGTCCGTCCGTCCGTCCGTCCGTCCGTACATCCATCCATCCATCCATTATCTATCTATCCATCCATCCAATATCTATCTTTCTATCTATCTATCTATCTATCTATCTATCTATCTATCTATCTATCTATCTATCTATCCATCCATCCATCCATCCATTATCTATCTATCCATCCATCCATCCATCCATCCATCCATTATCTATCTATCTATCTATCTATCTATCTATCTATCTATCTATCTATCTATCTATCTATCTATCTATCTATCATCTATGACTACATTTTCAAGAAAAGATTGGACAACGATTTGTCTTGAGAACCGTCATCCCTTGAGCAGGTTGGACTAGAAGACCCCCAAGGGTCCCTTCCACCCCTACGATTCGATGCCCTGTTCGACGGAGGGAACATAAAAACACAAGTAGACTTGCAAGATTCTCTTGCTATAACTCTCGGGAGAAAAGTAGAATTCTAGTCTCCGGATGGAGTCCCTTTCCTAATCTGATCCACCTCGTAGGCTTGACAAGACCGTGGGGAGCCACCCTTAGTCTGTCGGGGCAGTTTTCTCCGCCTCCGCTCCCATCTCTCCGTCGTCTCCCCCCTATGTCGGTCGCAAGGGCTCCTTGCCCCGTGACCTCTGTTCTTGTATGCCTGTCAAGGGCCAGGCACGTTTGGGAGCGCTCGATGAATAAATAATAGCAATAACTAAAATATTAATTGAGCCGTACTTCTGGACAGGAATGGAAAGCACCACGCTCTTCTCAGATATTTGGAATGTGAAAAGAATTAGGCCACACGCCTTGACTTGGGAGCGAGAGGGTTGCATAACGGGTGCCATTTTTTTGACTGTGTAAATGGAATTGTAAGCTTAAATAGGTACAGGTAGTCCTCGACTCAAAACAGTTCGTTTAGTGGCCGTTCGAAGTAACAAGGGCACTGGAAAAAAAGTGACCGATGAGCGTTTTTCGCACTCACGACCGTTGCAGCCTCCCTGTGGTCCTGTGATCAGAATTCAGACCCTTGGCCACTGGCTCGTATTTATGACTGTCGTAAGTGTCCCGGGGTCACGTGATCTGGCGAGCAAACCAGAATCTGGGAACATCATATTCATTTAACAACCGTCTTCCTCGCTTAACGACTGCAGTGATTCGCTGGCAAGAAAAGTTGCAAAATGGGACAGAATTCACTTAACAGGGGTCTCACTTAGCGACGGAAAGTTTGGCCTCCTTTGGGCTTGAAAGTTGAGGACTACCTGGAAAAGTTTCGATCGAGTGACGGGCAGGTAAGAACGTACCTGGGAATTTCCTAAATAAGATTTGACTTCCCACCTTATCAATCACAAGTGGGCTCTCCTATATTTCATTCTTGGTTACATCTTACGATACGCAAATAGTTTTATTGGGCATAAACGCCCAGCGGGACTCCAAATTATGACGCAGAAATCCATATTATCCAATATTTGGGGGAGGGATGAACGAAAGCTATTCTTGATTTACTCCCCACTCGAAAGCGAAAGATAAGCGATTAAACTGCACACAATTACTTAGCCATGTCTAATTTAATTGTCTAATGCTGCCCTCTCCGTAATCCCATTTATCAAGATAAAGGTTTCTGGCCTTGACGTTATAATCTGAAAATATCCAACTTGGAGAATGTATAACTTTGTTCCCTGAGTTTTGGGCCGTAATATCCCTCCTCACCTCCCATCTCCGGATCTAAATGTAATATTTAGCAGAGGGGAGGGGGATTTTTATTTACTTCCCGCAGGGCAGAATTCTGCCTTAATTCAGCTAAATGTTTTCTGTGTCACTTGTCACTGAATTACTTATGTTGTGGACACAAGGATGCATCAAAGCATTGAAAGATGCCCTTGTTATAAGCACCGTTCTGGGGCTGTTAAATATTCATATGGATCAGCACAATCTGTTCCAACTGAGTTGAAGCAATCTTGCAACTGCGAAACATCACAGCGGCCCCGCCTGAGTGAGTTCATCCTGGACCCAGGAATATGTCACTCCAGGAGAAACTTTGGAAGGGCTGAAGGCCAAGGAATGTTGAGCTGGTCCTTTAGCTCCTGCTACAAAGAAGGCGACGGAATAACAAGAGTTGGAAGGGACCTGGGAGGTCTTCTAGTCCAACTTCCTGCTCAGGCAGGAAATCCTATATGATTTCTGACAGATGGTTGTCCAATCTCATCTTGAAAAGCCTCCAGGGATGGCGCAACCAGAACTTCTGGAGGGAAGCGGTTCCACTGGTTAATTGTTCTCACTGTCAGGAGATTTCTCCTTAGTTCTAGGTTGATCCTCATCTTCCAGCCTTGGGTATACTGATAAGACCTCAACTGGTTGTTTAAAAGTTAAGGTTTATGTTGAGTTCCCATTGTTTTGTTTTGTTTGAAAGAATCATCAAATTAACTGGTCTTGGATGCAAGCTCAAGAGAAGTTAGTAGATAGATAGGAGATGTGTTGGGGGTGTCCTTCTCTGTGGTCCCCATCCTCTTTTCACCTTCAAGGTTTCCCAGTATCCAGTCTTCTCCAAAGAAATCTCTTTTCTCATTTGGTGGCCAGAGTATTTAAGCTTCCACTTCGGAACCTGTCCTTCCAAACGGCAGCCAGGGTTGATCGATCGATTGCAGTCCAAGGGACTTGAAAGTTGGGTTGTACCTAAAAATGCATGATGGTTGTTTGGAACAGGCAGTAGCTCCAGTGACAACCTGTCTCTGGCTCTTAATGGGGAAGGATCTGTCTTTGAAGTCTTCCTGTCGAAAGAAAATATGGATTGCGTTGTTGTTGTTTTTTTAACGGAAAGAGTAAGTTATCCATTAACCGCGTTCTGCACAGGTCAATTTTAGAGGACCAAGGAAAGAGATTCAAACTGTACAACCGTGCAACTCATCCTGAACATCTGAGCACGCTTAACCAACTCTTCAGTCTTCCTCAGCCCAACCCTTCCTAAAAAATTGAAAATGTTAGTTTCCTTTTGTACCCTGTGGGCATATCAGGAATAACAGGGATGTAATAATAATAATAATAATAAATAATAATAATAATAATAATAATAATAATAATAATAATAATAATAATAATAATAATAATAATAATAATAATAATAATAATAATGAAGACCAGAAAAATAATGACAATGAATCATGCCCTTCATCCACGAAGTGACATTGACAGACTTTATCTACCAAGGCAAATAGGTGGGCGTGGAATGCTGCAAGTACATCAGATGGTTGAAGAAGAAAAAATGGCTTTGGAAGAATATCTGAAGGACAATGATGAAGATGCACTGAAATTAGGTGCGATGATCCATAATAATAATTAAAAAAAAAGTTGGAAGGGACCTTGGAGGTCATCGAGTCCAACCCCCTGCTCAGGCAGGAAACCCTACACCATTTCGGACAAATGGCTGTCCAGTCTCTTCTTAAAAACTTCCAGCATTGGAGCATTCACCGCTTCTGGAGGCAGGTGGTTCCCCTGGTTAATTGTTCTCACTGTCAGGAAGTTTCTCCTTAGTTCTAGGTTGCTTCTCTCCTTGATTAGTTTCCATCCGTTGCTTCTCGTCCTGCCTTCAGGCGCTTTGGAGAATAGCTTGACTCCCTCTTCTTTGGGGCAGCCCCTGAGAGATTGGAATGCTGCTATCCTGTCCCCCCTGGTCCTTCTCTTCATTAGACTAGACATACCCAATTCCAGCAACCATTCCTTATATGTTTTAGCCTCCAGTCCTCTGATCATCTTTGTTGCTCTTCTCTGCACTCTGTATGTAAAATAAGCCTACCAAAGCTTGAATGGATCTTGAGTTGTTAGAAATATGCTAATACAGATTCTTTTTTTTCTCTCCCCTAGCTTGATATATGGTCGAAGTCCAGCTATCAGGTCTTCCAGAAGGTAAGGTTCTAGACTTCTAAGAGGCAGGCCTTGCTTACAGAAATGGGATTGGATTTGGCTAAGCTAACGAGGTGATCCCGCTGAACTGAAATTCCCAGGATTCTTATTTTGGGAGCTGAACCTGACATGCAAAAAAAGTTTTGACCTTGGGAAATTTCTCTCAGATCAAAAGGGAAAGCTTTGGGGAGGTATGAAACCGCCCGGTCCTTAACTAGCATTAAAAGCAGAATAGCACACTAGTTAGTCTGTTACTCTGGAGACAGGGTGAGAATTAAAGGATTAGACACTTCTTCTTTTTCTAATTTCTTCTCCCTTCTCAAAATGCACGGAGAGAAGGGTTTTTATAATGAAAAGCAGCCGAAGAACAGAGGCCACGGTGATAATCCCTTCATCAATAATGCCTCCAACTTGTTACAGCTGACGAAACCGCTTTTCTTTGGGCGGTGAAAAACTTTTTTCCCCTGCTTGGACCTTTTTTTAAAAAAAATCCATAACCCTTACGGCCATTTGTTTAGCGACCGTTCAGAGTTACAACAGCGCTGGGGGAAAAAGTGACTTTTGCTCATTTTCCTACCCTTAGTGACCGTTGCAGCCTCCCTGTGGTCACGTGATCAAAATTCAGGAGCTCGACAACTGACTCACATTTATGACGAGTCGCAGTGTCCCAAGGTCACGTGGGAACAAAACTCACTTAGCAACTGTCCAAAGTCATCCAATCAGCAACTAGCTTGGCCACACAAATGTTGGGCTCAATTGGGGCCGTAAACTGAGGACTATACCTGTATATTAAATGAATAGATGATACAAATTGCTTTGAACGGGACTGTAAATTGAAGTGAAGTCAATAATTGAAGTAAATGACTTTCTTCAACATACATGCTATTTTGTCCTCATCACACCCATTTCTTGGTTTAGTCCTGCCCACCTTTATCCTGAGCACGACTCCTGGCTGTTGGTCCAAAGTCATCCAATCAGCTTTCGTACCTAAGGAGGGACTAGAACTCCCAATCGCCTGGGGATTGGCCCAGAGTCACCCAGCTGGCTTTCATCCCTAAGGCAGGACTAGAACTCCCCGTCTCCTACTGATAGTCCCCATCTCCTGATGACTGGCCCAAAGTTATCCAGTCAACTTTCAGAGCTAAGCTGGGACTAGAACTCACCGTCTCCTGGCGATTGGCCCAAAGTCACTCAGCTGGCTTTTGTGCCTAAGGTGGGACTAGAACTCACCATCTCCCAGTCTCCAGCCTGGTGCCTTGCCTGCTAGGCCAAACTGGCTCTCTGGAATTTATAATAGAAGACTGGAAAGTACAGAGACACACCTTCTGCTAAGCATCTATCCTTGTCTAGAAAGTAATATGGAATCACCCAACTATGTTTGAGCATTCAGAGACAAAGAGGTCATCTATTTCTTCTGATTGGTTGGGTGGCCTGTAATGTACACCTATGACAATGTCACTTTTTTTTCCTTCTCTTTTCTATTGACCCATAGACCTTCTGGAGAGATTTTAATCTTTGATCCCGTGCATTTCTGCAGATATGTCGTGTTCTCTTACACATCTGTGCAACCCCCCCTCCTCTTTTTGTAGACCTGTTTCCTTTGAACCATTTGCATCCATCCATCAGTCCATTCTATCCGTGGGTTTCGTCCCGCCAGGTTTCTGTTGTGTCAAGCCCTCCCTCGTGTACTATTGCTTCTAGTTCGCCCCGTTTGTTCCCCAGGCTTTGAGCATTGTCATAGATAAATTACATCTATTTTACCTCATTTCCCAGGAAAATCAGCCCCTGGTTTATTTGGGGTTTGTCGCAGACGTGCGCGCGCGACGTGTATAAGAAATATTGTCAAGCGTTCCTCCTGTGCCTTGATTATAAGAGATCGATGGCTACCTTGGCAGACGATGTTATTAAGTTTTAAGTTTTTATAACTGGTTTATTTGGTTTGGATTGGTTTTTTTTTTCTTTCTTCTTCTGGGTATCCATAGAGCTGCTTGCGTGTGGGTGGGTGTTTTGAACTTGGAGAGAAATAAAATAAAACTATTATAAGCTCACTTCCCCTCCTGCTGCAAAGATAACTCAGAGACAAATAAATCAGGAGGATGCACGAACATTTTGCAGAATCCTGCCACTCCAGACATGATTAACGATGTCATTTTAATATTATTTTTTTTTATTAATAATTTCAAGGGGTCCCTTAAAACTTCACTTGATTTACGAAAAAAAAAAAGGTTTCCAAAAGCAGAAACGGTTGTCTTCTCTTTGAATGAGTCATGCCCCATTTTATGACCTTTTCTCGCCAAGGTTGTTAAGCGAATCACAGGGTCATTAAATGAATCCGGCTTCCCCCCGTTGACTTTGCTAGTCAGAAGCCAGCTGGGAAGGTCGCAAATTGTGATCACGCGATCCCAGGATGCTACAACCTTCATAAATAGATGCCGGTTGCCAAGCACCCCAAATTTTGATGGCATAAACTGTGATAAGGCTGCAACGGCCGTAATTGCGAGGACCAGTGGTAATCACAATTTTCAGCACCATCGTAACTTTGAATGGTCACTAAACAAATGATTGTAAGTCAAGGACTACCAACAATATATATCCGGGGTCTTCAAACTTGGCCCTTGTATGACTTGCGGACTTCAACTCCCAGAATTCCTCAGCCAGCCAGGGCTGGCTGAGGAATTCTGGGAGTTGAAGTCCGCAAGTCATACAAGGGCCAAGTTTGAAGACCCCAGATATATAGGAAAGTAACCTCAAACTGAATTTCAGCACCTTGGAGAGCTCATAAGAAAGTTTTTGTGTCTTTTTGGTCCTTTGACCAGATTCCTGGTTGCTAGTTTCGTTGACTTGGTTCATCTCAAAAATAATAATAATTATAATAATAAGTAGAGCCCAACTTAGTATAGATAGTATAGATAGTCCTCAGCTTACAACTTAGTATAGATAGTCCTCAGCTTACAACCATTCATTTAGTGACCGTCTGAAGTGGCAAGGGCACTGAAAAAAGTGACTTGTGACCGTTTTTCACACTTACGACCGTTTGCAGCATCCCCATGGTTCACGCGATCCAAATTCAGACGCTTGGCAACCGGCTCGTATTTACGACGGTCGCAACGTCCCCGGGGTCCCGTGACCCCCTTTTTTGCGACCTTCTGAGAAGCAAAGTCAGTTGGGGACACCAGATTCACTTAACAACCGCTGGCTCAGGAATTCTGGGAGTTGAAGTCCACGAGTCATACAAGAGCCAAGGTTGCCTACCCCTGACTTAACCACTGGGGCAGGAAAGGGGGTCAAATGCAGCAAAACTGACTGAACAACTGTCTCTCTTAGCAACGGAAAAATTGGGCTCGATTGTGGCCGTAAATCGAGGACTCCGTGTATCGGGGTGCGTGACCACCAAAATCCATCCCAGCCTTAGGCTACCCTCAGAAGTGGGGAAAAAAGACATGGCAGGAGAAGACTCTGAGCGATTGTTGCCCGTAACACACGTGGAGGGGGTGAGGAGGTACTCCCTGTCTCCCAAATCACCCTCCCTGCTTGAAAAAATTCCCCCCATTTGCCTAAAAGCCACATCTGGACCGGATCAAGTTCCTGTTTCTCTCAAACTGCGAATATCTGCCGCTTCTGGTCCACCCTGTCGTTGGGACTCAGCTCTGCTTTCACTTCGTCGTCGCTTGCAAACTTCGTTGAGATCTTTTCTTGGGCTATTAAGCTCCGCAGAGGTGTTTAATTTGAGGGGGGGGGAGGCAAGGCGGTCAGCTTCCCCGAAGACCCATTATAGTTGAAGCGTTCAGGTTTTCACCGAAAGTTCACCCCCAGAGGTTTTTTCCCCGAGCGCCCGTGCAGAGTGGTTGAGCTTTTGTTCGCCTTGGCAAACCAGCAGGGAGAATCTGAAAGAATGGAGCCGCCAGACGCGAGTCGGACGCGCTAAAGAGCACCATCACAAAAGGGCCGAGGGAAGTTGAGCCGTCGCGGCCTCTTCCTGACATTTTCAACGCGGCAGGGGGAGAGGCAGGGATGATCTCTCTAACCTTTGTGTGAAAGCTCCGAGCGCTGAAATAAGCAGGAGAATAAATACCCTTGCCGAAATAAACAAGGGGAAGAACTCTTGAGGTGGGCCGAGTCCTCTTCTCTCTCCGTTCCAAAGGCCGCCTCTTACAAAAGGCTTTTGCAATATCGATCGATTTCATGTCCTCATGTTGTGGTGTGGATCGTTCGGTTTTTGGTTTGGTTGCTAAAATATCCTCGTGGCATTTTACAGCAAAGGCCGGCTAGCCCAAGAAAAATCAAGGACTCGTACAGCTGGCCCTACAACTTACAACTTACAACCATTCATTTAGTGACTGTTTAAAGTTTACAATGGCATTGAAAAAAGGGACTTACGATGGATGGATGGATGGATGGATGGATGGATGGATGGATGGATGGATGGATGGATGGATGGATGGGTGGGTGGGTGGGTGGGGGG